CTCGCTCCGCGTTCCTGTCTCTCCTCGTGTTCCTCCTCGTTCTCCTCATCATCATCAGCAGCAGCATCATCAGCAGCATCATTACCATCTGCATCAGCATGAGCAGAATCACCATTTGCAGTGTCACCCGCAGTATCACCATCACCATCGTTATCGTCATCATAACCAGAATCAGCATCACACTCAGCATCTGCACCATCATTAGCAACAGCATCATTATCAGCAGCGTCAGCATCAGCATCAACATCCGCAGCATCATCACCATCATCCGCACCATCATCAGCATCACCCTCCTCCCTCCTCATCTCCCCATCCCTCCGCCCTTCCCCGGCCTCCCTCCTCGCTCCTCGCTCCTCGCTAGTATTCCTCCTCCTCCTCCTCCTCCTCCTCCTCCTCCTCCTTCCTCCTCTTCCTACTCCTACTCCTACTCCTACTCCTACTCCTACTCCTCCTCCTCCTCCTCCTCCTCCTCCTCCTCCTCCTCCTCGTTCTCCTTCTCCTTCTCCTTCTCCTTCTCCTTCTCCTCCTCATCATTCCGCGTCCTCAAGCTGCCGTTGGGCCCAAACCATATTGGCAGGGCCCAACGCGTCGGTCCGTTCCCGCGGGAGTTTGAGGGACAGCGCAGCCCTGAGTTGCTGCCCTCCCCTTTTAGACACTCTCAGCCAGAGCGTTGGCGAAAGCCGAGGAAGTAGTTGCAATGGCGCGAGCATGGTCGACCTGCAAGCGTTGTTCTCAGTCGCAGTGGAGCGACATTTTAGTCAGCAGGAGCATGCAGCGCGCACGTTGCAAGAGTAAGGTCAAGTGGTATGGTGCGCCATCTTCGAAGGACAAAGATAAGGAGGAGGCCCACTCGGGACCCAGTGGCGGACGCCGCAGTATCCTGAAGACGGTCACCTTCTCAGACGACACACCAGCGGATGGAGTTAAAGCCCGAGGCGCCCGCCGTCGAGCAGGCACACCTCCGCCACCCACAGCAGGCTCAGTTCTCCCGTTGTTGGAACAGGCACTGGAGCAGGCGAGCGATCCCGAGCTGAGGTCGTCGCTCAATTCCCAGGTAGCCAAGTTGAAGCAGGCACAGGCCAACGAATCCAACTCAACGGCGGGAGCCCATCAGTCCTTGCAGAGAGCAGACGGAGCCTGGCGCGACATCAAGTATCGCCCCGCACAAGATGCCCAGTCCGTGGTGAGGTTGAAGAAGCAGCTCAGCTCAGCCCAGGAGAATGCACGTCGCTTGCACGCGAGTTGGCAGAGGCCGAGCCCGCGAAGAAGCAAACCGCCCAGGTCCTCGCCAATCACAAGTCGCCATCGCCTCCGACGCCGACTGCGACGTCCACTGGGGGCAAGCCTTTTGGTTTCAGTTATGACAAGCAGCTGTTCGATAATCTCGAGGACCTCGAGTGCGAAGAGACAGAGCGCACCGAGCTCAACAAGGCTCACCAGCAGCTCATCGAGACCCAGAAGTACTTTGACGGCGAGGCGGAGAAGTGCACCGCCTTCATCAAGAAAGCCACCGAGATGCGGGCAGATATCACTGCCCGGATTGCCAAGAAGCGTCGTGGAGGCGACGGCGAACCGACATCCTCATTTGCGACGACACCCCGATCAGAGTCACAGCCCCCGCCCACAGGCGCGGCCATGACGCCAGCTTCGCCGAGCGGGCCAGCCGACCAGGAGTGCAAGGAGCACCGTGAGCAGCGGATTGCAGCCTAGGCCAAGCGCCTCTCCGACGCCAAGTTCGCCGCGCAGGCGCATGCAGTTCATGCGCCATGCGACGGAGGCAGCGCAGGAGCTGATGGAGGGGATCAGGAGCTGCGACTAGGGGTAGATCGATCATGTGAGCAGCGACACCGCACCCACCCCTGAGAGGCCCGGCAGCCCGCGGGGCCCCGGGGAAGGGAAGCGTCTTGCTGCAGCCGGCCCCAGTTTTTCATTCGAGAGACCTCGACCGCCTCAGGAGAATGAGGATCCTCTGCGGCTCGTGCGCGGCAACAGCACTGCCATGGGAGACAAGGTGTGGAAATTCATTCAGGAGGCGCACTCGTGCCAACATGTTAAACTCTTCTGCCTTGCCGAGACCCATGTCTCACGTTCCGCACTGCCGCCTTGGATTCGCAAAGCTCGCGCTGCAAACCTCCGCCTCATTGCCAACCCAGCGTGGCCCACAGGGAAAACAGTTTGCGCCGCGGGAATCGAGAAGGCCAACGAGGGCGGCGAGTAAATCATGGCCCTTGGGCACACGCAAGTACACTCAATGGCCCCTCAGCCCGAGCAGATTGCCGACTTCCAGGTTGACGGTCAGACTATGATCGATGGTTTCATTGTAGCTCACATTCATACGGTCTGATATTTTTTTCTTGCACAGGGTGTCTAGAGCTCCGACCACTTCACTTCGGCGCGGCACCCCCTCCATCGCCCGCGCATTCTACCAGCCAGCGCACCCCTCCGCCTCGACCCTCTTTATTTCGGCACGGGACACCCCTCCGCCCCGACCTTTCTTATCTCGGCACAGCACACCCCCCTCCGGACCCCTCTGCCCCCCCCCCCCCCCCACTCCACCCCACCCCACCCCCACCCACCCACCCACCCGCCCACCCACCAGCCAGCGCGCCCCTCCGCCCCGACGTCTTTCTTTCGGCACGGCACACCCCTCCGCCCCGACTCCTTTATTTCGGCGCGGCACGCACCCCCTCTGCACCCCTTCCATCCACCCGCCCGCCAGCGCGCCCCTCACGCCCCGACCCCTTTTATGTTTCGGCACGGCACGCCCCCTCCGCCCCGACCTTTTTTATTTCGCAACGGCAACACTCCTCACGCATCCCCGCCAGCCCACCAGGCGGCCCAACCAGCCAGCGCGCCCCTCGCCCCGACCTTCTCTGTCTCGGCACCGGCACAACACCCTCCGCCCCGACCCCTTTCTTTCGGCGCGGCACACCGGCACCGCATTCCCCCCCCCCGACCGCCAGCCAGCCGCGCCCTTCCGCCCGGACCCCTCTTATTTCGGCTCGGCACACCCGCCACCCCGACGGTTCTATTCGGGCACGGCACAAACCCCCTCCGCATCCCCCCCTCCCCCACCAGCCCAGCGCGCCCCCGCCGCCCCCCCCTCCATTTATTTTCGCCCCCCCCCCCCCCGCGCGCCCCCTCCGCCGCGACCCCTTTTCACGTCGGCACGGCGCGCCCCTCCCCCGCGACCCTTTTTTTTTATTTCGGCACGGCGCGCCCCCTACCCACCAGCCAGCGCGCCCTCCGCCCCGACACCTTTAATTCGGCACGGCGCACCTCTCTGCCCCGACTTCTTTATTTCGGCACGGCACGCACCCACCGCACCTCCACCCCGCCCGCCAGCCAGCGCGCCCATTCCGCCCCGACCCTTGCATTTCGGCACGGCGCCGCCCGCTGCACCCCCCAACCCCACCGGCCACGCACCCCCTCCGCCCCGACTCCTTTACATCGGCACGCCCCCCCACCCACAGCGCGCGCCCCCCCCCCCCCCCGCCCCGACTCCTTTATTTCGGCAACGGCACAATACCCCCTCCCCGCCCCCGACCCTTTTTTTGATTTCGGCGCGGCACCGCCCCCCACCCGCGCCCCCCCACCCCACCAGTGGCCAGCGCGCCCGCCCGCCCGACTCCGCGTAATTCCGCAACGGCACACCCCTCGCCGTGATCGCCCCCCCGTTTTAGCTCGGCAAACCGCACACCCCCCCTCCGCACCCCCCCGCCCACCAGCCAGCGCCCCCCTCCGCCCCGGCCCTTTTATTTCGCCACGAACCCCCCTCTGCACCCCCCCCGCCCATCAGCCAGCGTGCCCTCTCCTCCCCGCGACCCCTTGATTTCGGCGCAGCCCCCACTCTCTCCCCGCGCGCCCCGCGCGCCCCCTCCGCACCCCCCCCCGCCTAACAAGCCAGCGCGCCGCCCCCCCGCCCCGACTTTTTTTTTGGAACTATGCCCCCCCCCCCCACCCCGCCCCGCCCCACCCGCGCCCACGCGCACACAACACACACAAACACAAAAAAAACACACACACACACACGCATGCACGCACTCACGCGAACACAAACACACACACACACACACACGCACGCACGCACGCACGCACGCACGCGAGCAAACACACACACACACAAACACACATCCACACACACACACACACGAACACACGCACACACGCGCACACACGCGCACACACACACACATACACACACACACACACACACACACACACACACACACACACACACTCACAAGCCAGCGCGCCCTTCCGCCCCAACCCCTTTATCTCGGCACGGCGCACCCCTCCGACCCCCCTTCCTTTTCGTGCAAGAGCCATGGCACACGCGCCACTTGTTTTGTGGCAGTCACGCCCCACGGATACACAGCAAAAAGGTTTGACCAAGTGCAATGTGCATCGTTTCTCTAGACGAGGAGCGTCTCTCGCATCTCCCCAGCCCCCTTGGATTGTCATAGGCGACTTCAATGCAACTTCCACATCGTTGGCCGCCTCGGGATTCATACCGAGAGTTGGGGGCGAGGTTGCAAAGGCTCCGATAGACTACGCGCGCGACGCTGGTAGAGAAGGCAGTCACATCGACGATGTAATTCGAAGCTCTGCTGCCGCCGCCCATCTGGCTGAGGTCGCCCCCATTCATGAGCGCGCCCTGGAAGACCCACTGCGGCCCCAGGCTCTCCCTCGGGGCCTCGGGGAAGCAATTCCCCACCAGCGGGCTAGTGTTGCCCGCCAGGCGCCCTCAGGCTGGCCGCCCACAGCGCGCCCCCACCCCAGGCTCGAAGTCTGAACTTGCTCGAGCGGCCAAGGCGACTGGCGCCCTGGCCAGCATCGAGAAGAATCGAGAGCGCTTCCATATGTTGTTTGGAGACTTGCGGGCGCCCGTCAAGCATGATGGAGTCGAGCTCGCGCGCGCCACCCCTTCGACGGCACGGACTGCGGGGGCCGTTGGCGACACCGCCGACGAGCGCCCGTTTGACAACCTTTCTGAAGTCCCCCCGGAAGAAGATCCGTGGGCCGACGAACCCAACATTGCATGATATTTCAAGCCAGCAGCACCAGCTAGCCACGGTGACGCGGTACCCACGACTGGGGAAACGGAGCCAAGGCAAGACGACGTAATTCACATTAGTTGCGAGCCCCTCAGGCCTTTTGTTTGGAGCCTTGAGGCGCCCGTTTCCCATTTGCTCCAGTATGCCCCCAGCATCGCGCGGGGGCCCGCGCCACCTCTCGAAGGTTCAGCTGTCGCAGATGATTCTACACCGCTCGTCCCCAGCATCACCGCCCCATCCAGCGCATTTGAAGGGCCGCCCCCCCCCCAGGTGATGATCGCGAGGTCAGCTTCTCCATTCTCGACGATGCGTGGGTTGACGCCAGAGTGGCTGCGGGATTTCTTCCTGCATCTCAGCGCAAGCCCTCGGCCGCGTTTGCGTCGTCCGTAGCCGCCAGGCTCGAGCGCCTATCCGTCGCCACCGCCCCGGCCCCATACGCGTCATGGGCGGCGACGCTGGAGCGAGCGGTGCACGACCATCACGACGTGGAGGCACCCCCACGCCATCTCGCATTTTGGGTTGGCAGTTTCAGGTTTCTGGCGTCAGGATTCCCAACAGGCAGACTGGTACCCTACAGGGATGTCGCGGCGTCGCGGTGGGAGAAGGTGCATACAGCACTGCAACGGTTAGACAACCATGGGTCTAAGAGGTCTGGGTACATCCAGCAGCAGCAGCTTGAGCAAGCCCGTTGGCACTTACTCCGTGAGCGCCCCGACCAGGCCCACTGAGGGGTTCGTGGGAACGCAGATCCAGCTTGGCCGCGTTGGCAGTCTCTTTTGCAGCACGGCGCTCTCGACGATCAGCATGGACTGGCCATGTACGTTGCAGCAGCCAGACGGATTGCAGGCCGCTGCAGACGACGTGCACCACGGGCCTCTCTCAATGATTTTCGTGATTGGATGGCCCAAACTTCGCCCACGGGAGCTTTACACGAGGCCATGCGCCAAGATCCTGCACCCACCGATGAAGTTGTCGCTGGGTCCTGGGCCCTCTTTTCACCCAAAAGACATCGTCGATCATAGGTCGGATGGGCTTCAGAAACTATGGGCCCCAAAGGAACTGGACCAAGACAAACGTGATGATGCCTTCGCTTGTGCTCGCGATGCCGCGCGCGAAGACCCGCTCGAACCTTTGTCCGTGGATGAGATTCGTAATGCAGCGCATGCGATGAGGCCTAAGATTGGCATGGGCGTTGACGTGCTCTCGCCCACTGACATAGAGCGGCAGCCCGCTGTAGCGCTAGCCGAGTTATCTCGCCCTCACAGCGTCATCGAGGAGGCGCTCGCGTGGCCATCGAAGCTAGGCCTCACGATAGGACGTTTGCTGCCCAAGAAATCTTCAGGAGACCGCGTCATTGGTTTACTTCCGATTGTAGCCAGGGTATGGAGCCTCGCCAGGGAACCATTTGTTAAGACTTGGGCAGCAGAGTCCGAGCCCGAGCAGGGCACGGCAGTCTGAGGAAACGCTGCATTAAGGGAGGCATTTCTGAGAGCGGTCGAGGAGGAGGTTTCTGGAGTTTTAAATTTGCCATCGGGACACGGACTTCTGGATATCCAGTGGTATGATGATTCCATGGAGTGGTTTTTTATTGATTATTGCAGCGTTGCGTTTGGGATATCCCCC